TCTATCTCATTGCACTCTGTGTTTGTCCTGGGTAGGCTGAGGGTCTGGGTTTGCATTTTTCTTCTGCATTTTGTCAATTTCTACTTTCTCTTATTAATTTTGTTTTGTTTTTTTTATGTTGATATTTTCCAATTTATTATGCTAGACAGCTTTATCACATATATTGAGGCTTCTGTAGTAGATGTGTGTTGTTCAGAGTGTCCTCTAGATGTATGTGGTTCTTTATAGCTATCCCAAGAATTACCTTTCCAATTTGTAAAGTATGTAATTATTGGCTGTGGTAATGATTATAACCCCATACAATCACAGTGTTATCATACAAGGTAGAGAAACTTATTATAACATGTATAACATCCTGGAAAAAGTAGTATACTTAGTAATAACAATAGTTTCAAGGACAGCTTGAAATTACTGACAAACTATGGTAACCATTAACCTGCTACCTTGGACTACAGGAACAATTCTTAAAGTTATATAACAAAATCATACATATACCTTGCACTTGTATTCAGTGATTTTACCCTTAGTGAGTGATTTTACCATTTGTAGGGGGTAGAGATCTAAGATGGATAGTGATTAATGAGGTCAAATATAGTAGAGTCAAGGCTGGAGGTCAAATGATGATCACCTGAGTTTTGGGAAACTGGAAGGCACAGGAGGAAAAGAATGAAACAGAATGTAAAGGTGTAGTCAGAAAGGGAAGAGACAATGTTTACTCTCTTGAAAGTTTAAATTCAGGAAGTATTTGTGGGAAGAGAGAGAGTGGATCTGTAAAAGAAAAAAAAAAGGTGAGAAATCCAAATAGTGAAAAAAGAAGGAAGAATTTGAAGGAGAATGAAAAAGAAAAGAAGGTAAGAAAGAAAAAAGATCAGAAAAAGAGATGAGAAAAGAAAAAAATCCCAAAACCAAAATAACCACAAAATACAAAACAAGACAACATCCAACCAGAAAGGAAAAGGATAACCAATCAGACATACAAGGGAGTATAAAAGTAGCAAAATACCTCTGGTGTTTACTGTTCTGTAATTTTATCCATGTCAGATCCCAGAAATGTGCTGTATACTTCAACCAAGTTTGTAATGGGAATTATGCTGGGTATGGAGCTGATGCTGGCCTCTGGGTGTGCAGGCTGAGAGTGCCCTTCTGTTAGTGGGTTCTCCAGAGCCCAACTACTGACTCCTCACTGTTGTCTCAGACTCTTTCATGTTGCTGGTCTCACTGATTACTGCACCCTCCAATGCATGTGTGCACCTGTGCTCCTGGGGTCTGCTGTCCTGGGTCTCAGTGTTCCAGTGACTCTGCCCACTCAAGGCATGTGTGTAATGTACCATTTTGTCCTTTAACTCTAAAAAAGCTCTGTCTTTGCATTGATCCTTTCTTTAATTTATAGATTCTTTTTTTTTTTTTTTGTCTTGCTGCGGAGTTCAAGCTGGACTTGAACTCATTTTGCAGCCTAGGCTGGTCTCGAACTCACAATGATCCTCATGCCTCAGCCTCCTGAATGCTGGGATTACAGGTGTACACCACAACACTGGGCTAATTTATAGATTCTATACAATTTTTCTATTTCTTTTTTTTTTTTTTTTGTCATTTTTTTGAGACAAGGTCTTGCTAAGGAATTCATATTTGAACTCACTTTGTAGCCTAGGCTGGTCTTAAACTCACAATGATCCTCATGCCTCAGCCTCCCAAGTGCTGGGATTACAGGTGTGCACTACCACACTGAGCTCATTTATAGATTCTATACAATTTTTAAATTTCTTTTTTTTTTTGTCATTTTTTTGAGACAAGGTCTTGCTAGGGAACTCACTTTGTATCCCAGGTTGTCCTCCAACTCACAGCAATCTTACCTCAGCTTCCTGAGTGCCGGGGTTACAGGCATGTGCCACCATGTATCATGTTAATATTATCTCTTAGTCATTGTAGACTGATCAGGTCTGCAGCCTCCCAAACGAGTGGACGGCACAGGCTAAATGAAAGAGAAAGATGGAATGACTTCAGAGCTTCAGGAGGATCAAAACCCTCTAACAGAATTTGAGATTCTCGGGGGGCTAAGACAAAGATCTTCTCTTGGTAACCCATATTTATTTAGTTATCTGAATCAAGGAGGGAACACTAAAGAAAGGCAGGACTCTGTTGGCTTAGAACCTAAGAAGTCCACTCAAGGGCTTCACCAGGTAAGACATTAAGACAATAATATAACATTATTATATTATAATAATTAGGAGACCTATATTATCTCCAGGAAGGTCTCCACCCAGAACTGACATGCTTGCAGCTACAGCCTTTATCTAGTTCACTGAGGTTGGTTGGAACCAGGTATGCTTAGTACGGTCTTGTCTTGTCCTTTGCAGGCCCCATTAGGACCAGTGACTCAGGGAGATTCACTTACTATGAGTCCACTGCCCAACTCCAGACAAGGGGCCTAGGCCTTGGACAAACTCACCGTAAACATGAAAAGCCAATTGATTAATTTAAGTCTTGCTCAGAGCCATTGTGTAGTGGCCTCTATCAGCCATGCCCAGCTAAATTTCTGCATATCTTTTTGTGGAGTCTATACTTTTGCTCAATACATCCTTCATGTTTGGAACAATTTTTATCAGCAATTTCAATGTTTTCCTTTGTTTCTCCCATTTTCACACTGGCCATTTTGATAATTACATGAACTTTTGGGTCATGTCATCTTTGAACTGGCCAATTTTCTTCAATGCTTCTCTAATCAGTATATAAAGCTGCATTTCTTGGTATTTTACTTTCTCTTCATTGGCTACCCTGGGTCTACCTTGGGAGAGTTAGGGGATCTGAGGTCCTTGTCATGGTCTTATTTTTCCATATTGCATGTTTCTAT